GGGATTCACACAAGCCTTCGGGTCTAATGATTTGGGAATAGCAAAGCGATAAGTTTGCATTGAAGTTAAGGAGCTGGCAGATAAAAGAGATTTTTAAAAATGAGATGAATGCTATCTAAAACTCTATAATGTGTGGACAGTGCTGAATATGCAGTAAAATATTTATTAGGGATTAATAAAACAGCCCTGTCACAGCTTGATCAATGGCTTGCTCAATTAGAGCTTAGGTGTACAAGAAGATCTCTGATTTTAGATATTTTCACCCAAGCAAAGTTGTCTACAAAAGTTTTATTTACCAAAAGTTTTTGAAAAATAAATGGCATTGATGTGTGCTGCCGTCTCTGGCAGTGGAAACAGTTCACGCAATTGGCTACTAACAGAAAGGCTGGAAGTCGGAGTCCATCTGGAAAAACCTCAGAAGAAATGCCTGATGATCTCCCTCAAAAAAAAAAAAAAAAGGCATTAAAGGCCCAGGGAGTGTGTCTCTTCGATGGCACCTACAGGGTTTCCACGAGTTGGGCTCAGTCAAAGAGAACTGCTTTGTTGTTGCCTGTGCTAGTTGTTAGGGTATGAAGGGCAGGACTCCTCCCTCTTCCAAGGCAGCCCCAGTTCAAGTCGAACCTTGATGGATAGTCAAGAAAGAATTCAAAGTAGGGATAGAACCAGTGAGATGGTGAAGGGCCAGACACATCCCATTGTGATCTGGATCTCTACTAGAGCCTACGTTCTGGGACCAAATCCTCTGTGGAACTGGTATCCGGGGACAGGCTGCTTTCAGAATCCAAGTGAGGGACAGAGACCGCTCTTCAGGAAGCAGAGTTCAGAAAGCATGAAGAAGAAAAACAAAGGGGCTTGTCAAACTACCACGAAGGCTTGGGGTGGGTCTAAACTTAACGAAATCTCCAAAGGATGAGAGTTGGTTCCCCTTTATGAATTGCTCCCCAGTCCAAATGGTCCCTGATCTGTCTTCTCAAATTAGGTAACACAGGCTTCTGTGTAATCTATAAAACAACACTGATCCCAGTTTAGCATATTTAGAAAACACATTCTTAACCTGACTCTTGAAAGTATTGATCCCTCTCTAACTCAGCATCTGTGATTGGGCTGCACAACCTCTTTATGGCCCTAGTGTCCCTGCAGTGTGCACAAGACTCCCAGAAATTCTCGATGCATCTCAGTTCCCAGCCACCGTCTGTGAATTTTTACTGACCTACAACTTACTCTTGACTCAGTTTCAATATATTCTAAATATTTAATATCCTCTACTTCTTTTTGGGATGAGCTCTTTCTGTTTTATATGATC